GTTTGAATTCGCGCGCTTTTACTCACCGGGCGGCCTAGAAAAAACCTCGTCCCTAAGGGCTTTCAGCGTATTTTTCGATGCGTTTTTCAAGGAATTTTTTTTTGAATTTTTTCTTTATTTTTATGTCAATCTACATGCATTTCTGCACATTTTGATGCAATAAATAATTTCACCGTACACCACCTTTAAATTTTTTAAAAACAATTTTCCAATTCAAAAAAACATTTGAAAAATTGAGGAACATTTTGAATTCAGCAACAATTTAAAAACTGGTAATTCGATTATATTATATTTATAAATTAATTCATCATTTATTTGTTCAAATCAATTAATTAAATGGAGTGTCTTCTTTTGCAACTCGCTTAAATGTTATGACTTTAGGATTCTTGTTGTCTACGTCATGTGTATTCAAAACTACGTGAATATAGCAATCCGTATTCGGAATCCGAAAGTACCACACTTTTTTTGAATCGGAAACTATACGATAGGGTTGTCCAATCAGCGTATGTAATGATTCATCAACTGTTGATTCGCGACATGATATTTTGAATTTTTGAAATGATGAAGATTTGAGAAGATTCTGGAAAAAAAAGCGCTTACAATTTATATCCACAAAAAAACCACTCACTGTCTTTAGATAAGCCACATCTTCAGAGGATAACGCCTCCACTAGAATTTCCAAATCAGCAAAGTGCAAAACATTCATCTCTTGAATTGGTGTTTCTATAGTCAAATGCTTGCAAATCAATTGTTCAGCACTCTTCCATTGTTTGGTTTGTGATATTTGATCTAATTCGAATCGGAACTCTTCTGTGACATGCTCGAAATACTCGTTTGAAAAATTCAATAACTCAATAGTCGTTAGGGAATTTTCATCAATTGCCGGAAGAATATTCATAATTTTCTTTTGACTATTAGATCCCATAGAGAGTTTTTTTGTTTTAAGTGTTGACTCTCTTCCTTCCAAAATTTTTCCAATTCTTTCGGACAAGTCATCCGTGATCACTACTGCTTCATTTTTTATGTCCACTGAAATGAAAAACGTTCTTATTTGGATAAAGTATCTTCAAAGCTTTAATGTCGCGGCAGCAGAGGTTCTACTGCACGACCTCGAATCCAACAATACTAGAGCATATCTAGAATGACACAAATAGTCATAAACACAATTCTCCAACTAGTTAACGCTACATATTTGGCGTGATCACTTCCTTATCACCATATCAGATCTAGAGCATAATCGTGGATATGCTGAGGAGATGCTATAAAAGGAAGCAGAATCGCCAGTATGATGAGACATCTGAGACAATGGCTACTTCCAAAGGATCTCCCGACCATTGGATATTCTGACGCTGGATCCGACTACTGACGCCCAAGGGCCAAACCAAATACCGATGACACACCTCACAGCTGCAACCTCCTAATAGTGGTCAATGGATGGTGCAAACCATATCTCCTATCAAAGGAATACCTCTCTGGATCGTAACCTTAGTCGGCTCCAACTGCAGATGTCACGAAGACCCCTACTCAGAGCCATAACTACTTAATAAATAGCTGTTATATAACTAATGTTCCTATCCTTGTACTTTAGCTCCGACACAGGCTTACCTATGTGTCGGAACATTTAACTCTTGTTAAAAAATTTTCAGTTGAAAAATACGATATTCGAATGGTCGCAATTTTATATATTAAAATTTCTTAAAATGAAGTGTTGTACTACTTGTACTTACCCTGGAAAAGAATCAGTAGTTCCTCTATACGTTCCGATTGATTTCTGAGAATTGTTTCAATGTCATGAAGACAAAGATCCATGTAGTCTGTCTCAGGAAAAACAACTCCTTCAATGTATGTATCCACTCCGTCCGAATAATATTCGACATGTTTAGATTCATTCTTCTTCAATTCGGTATGTGTGTTAAGACACAACAATATTCCATTAAAAAATTCGAAAGTGATGGCACACTTTTTAATGTGGGGATTCGGTCTTATGAGATCTATACAATTTCGGATCCCTCGATTCACTTTTCGAAGTCTCTCGCTTTAAATAAAGAATTTTTTTTTAATCTAAAAAATTAAAAACTCACATGTCAAAACATTGTAATTGCCTTAAAATGAATTGCATCGGTAATCGGTTTTCCAAAACTTTTCGCGCCACCATTTCATTCATACTTTGGTTATCCGGTATGTCGAGATCAGTTGTTTGGGGCATTTGATTAGAAAAGAACTGATATAAGGCAATTTCAACTTTTCAGAAAACAGGTATGTAAAAACTCACGATGCTGATGAAATTACCGTCGTTGTTGGCTTTCTCACTTTTGAATTCGTTCAGAAACCTTTCAAGGTTTTCTGGATCCACTATCTGCCATAAGACTACTTTCGACAATTTCGCTCGATCCAGTAACCGTGTGAATGATGCCGCCTGGGCTATGGTAGTTCTACGAAATTCAGCTTGTTCGACAGGGAACGCCGTACTTCTCAATTTCAAACTCATCTCGAGACGTTCACAAATTCTTGCACGATCGTCGACGGTTGCTCGGAAATAATCTATACAAATGTATGACAAAACGGTTTTCCGATGCACCATCAGCATCTCTAAATCTTCTAAGAACACGTCTACAAAATTGTGTTGTATTGGATCCAAATCTTCTTTATCGAACATCACAATTGTAGTATTACTTCCGAATTTTTCATAATTGATATAGTAATTGGTTTTTCCATAAAGTGACTGCAATCCCAAAATCAACTTAATATAGTCGGGAGCGATTTCAACATGTATCCTCATAATGTTATTCTTCTGTTGATCCGTCAAATATTCATATACAGACGGCATCTGAAAATATGTAAAACTTCTCAGAGAAAAATGAAATGTATGATTTCTGATTTTAAAATATTAAAAAAGTCACAAGAAAATTATAATATCGATTTGCAATTTATGAAAAGGGTGTATTTCGTTTTTATTTGCTGTCGCTCAAAGTGAGAGTGCTTTTTTGACAAATGAGGTTTAGAGAAAAAAAATCACTTTTCGTCATTGCGTTTGTTATCATCAAAAAAGGAGAGGAATTTATCTCTAAACCTCTTTTTCATAAATGCTCTCTCATTTTGACTGAAAACAGTGAGAAAAATTTCAATGAGAAAAACATTTAAGGAAATGGCCGATCAAAAATTTCGCTTACGAGCCTTTTTGTGGCATGAGTTCAAAGAAGGTAAAACTGCAGCCGAAGCTCATCGCTCACTTCCGCCAGTGTTCGGAGAAAATGCTCTATCCGAAAGTCAATGTCGACGTTAATTTCAGCGCTTCAGAAGTGGCGAAGAGAGCTTGGAAGACGATGAACGCAGTGGTCGTCCAGAAATCATTGACAACGATGCTTTGAGACAAGCAGTCGAACTGGACCAGTGCCTAACAACACGCATTTTGTCAGAACAGTTTATTTGCAGTCATATCACAATTTTACGCCACCTACATGCGCTTGGGAAATCGAATAGATGCGGAAAATGGGTACCGCACAAACTCTCTGAAGCAAACAAGAAGAAGCACGTCGAAGTGGCCAATGATCTTCTGCGCCGCTCAAAAAATCGCGGTTTCTTTTATTCAATTTTGACATCAGATGAAAAATGGATTCAGTATGACTGTTCTAAAAGAAAACATCAGCTCTCACATCCGCCTTACAGCCCAGATTTGGCACCATCTGACTATCATTTGTTCCGGTCCATGTAGCATCATCTGGAGGAGAAGAAGTTCAAAAACGACGAAGAAGTGAAAATTTGGGTGATCATAATATAATTAACATTTTGTCAATTGACCACTTTTTGATATCTTTAACAGAAAAAAATTATATACGGGTTCAAAGTAAACGGTTTGGGTGACACTCTATTACAGTGTTTACGGTAAATTTTTCGAATTTAACAATTTTGAAACATTTTCAGACTGGTCCTTCAAAAAGTATCATGGAATCTTCGAAACTTCCTTCACTTTGAATCCAACCTAAAAAGCATTTCGATTAGACCGTCACTTTGAATCCAACCTAAAAAGCATTTCGATTACAGTAACCCTAGACTTCATATCCATTTATATCGACCCACAAAATGATTGGAGTCTAGACATTGAGTATCAAAATGAGCCAAATGGATGCTCGGTTCAAAATGGGATGAAACCCAAAGTCTTTCTCAAAAATCAATATTTCATTACCATTTTTCTTAATGATCTTAACATCAATTTGAAAAATCAAAAAAATCAGTTTTAGAACTATTTCGATTGAGTTTCGAATGTGTTCTAGCTGGTTTTTTGAAAGGAATTAGTGAAGTTTTGGATAATCGAGATTCCCCTCTTCGAGTGGAAGAACTGAATCTGGAAGTGACGAATCAAGAAGAGGTAATGAGTGTTCTACCATACATCGATTCAAAATCTATGAGGAAATTGTTCATCTCTAGTTCCCAAAACTGTATAAGTCTGGAAATTGACCAGATGGTACGGTTAGATCAGTGGAAGTCAGCAAAAGAATTGGAAATGTTTAATTGTATTATTTCCGCACCTCTCAAGGATTTTTCTCACTTTTCAAACGCCAAAATTCAAATTGAAATGGTCTGTTCAGAGGATCAGAATACATTTTATACAATGTGAGAGAATGAAAAAATAAGACATAGCAATATAATATGGGTGTAGTTATAGGGCAATGATAAGAAAACACGATCATGAGGAAGTCATGTGATAAAAAACAAAAGGAAATGATTATTGTCTGTATCGGTATAGAAACTTCGAATTGTAATGAGAAATTCTTTTTTTTTTTTGAAATGTTTTTGCTTAGACTTGAGTCATAAAATTACGAAATACAGATTCCTCACTCTTATTCCGATTTTATCAGTTTTTTTTTCTTTTTGTGTCAATTGCTTTTTTTGTATACTCAATTTTTTCTTGATTGCAAAGAATTGTGTAATTTTTTCTAATTGTAAAATACCTCTATCAAATTTATTCTCTATTTTGGTCCAAAGATTTTTGTTGGTTTTTTGAAAACTCTAGGATATAATAGACGCACAACCAAACCGTAAACTTTGAGCGCAATTATCTCGGTTCTTGTGAAAGATATCAAATAGTTGTCAACTGATAAATGTTTATCCCTTCCCCTCCCCTCGTTCAGAGGATCTGCTCATGCTAAAAGAGGTGAGTGATTTACTCTCTCCACCCAATGAAAATCTAAATTTTCCAGGCTTTTCTCAGCTCTTCAAGCTTCCAAAAGTTTATTCTCAAATACAAATATTTTGATGAAAACGTTGATCTACAGCTTCTGTTTGGAGAACCGGATTTGATTGACAGGGACACTTGGTCTTTTCCATATCCAGATTCTGACGAATCTCTTCGATTGGTGCACTATGATAATCGGGTTTTTGATTTTTCGAAGGTTAAAAATTCTGAAATTCTCATTGAAAATTTTCATAACTATTGTGAAGTTAAATAAAAAAAGTTCATTGGATTCATAACGGACAAGAAACATGTTTATAAAATAACGGTTTCTCTTCCAGGAGTTGTCATTAAAATCACCGTAAAACCTGTAATAGAAGATTCCCCACCACAGTCAAGTTTGATCTCAATTGTCTCAATTTCTATAAAAGATATCTCAAATTGAATTGAGAGAACACTTCTGATATTATGATAAACATTTATCAGTTGACAACTATTTGATATCTTTCACAAGAACCGAGATAATTGCGCTCAAAGTTTACGGTTTGGTTGTGCGTCTATTATATCCTAGAGTTTTCAAAAAAGCAACAAAAATCTTTGGACCAAAATAGAGAATAAATTTGATAGAGGTATTTTACAATTAGAAAAAATTACACAATTCTTTGCAATCAAAAAAAAAATTGAGTATACAAAAAAAGCAATTGACACAAAAAGAAAAAAAAACTGATAAAATCGGAATAGGAGTGAGGAATCTGTATTTCGTAATTTTATGACTCAAGTCTAAGCAAAAACATTTCAAAAAAAAAAAAAAGAATTTCTCATTACAATTCGAAGTTTCTATACCGATACAGACAATAATCATTTCCTTTTGTTTTTTATCACATGACTTCCTCATGATCGTGTTTTCTTATCATTGATCTATAACTACACCCATATTATACTGCTATGTCTTATTTTTTCATTCTCCCACATTGTATAAAATGTATTCTAAACTCTCTATGAGTGATGTACCCCATGTGGTTCTGAGACATATTATCAGTCTAGCTGGTATCCAATCAAGGTAAGTTCCAATCAAGGTAAGTTCCAATCGAAAAACCCTTGTTTATATTTCCGTCTCTTCCTCGAATCCGGTTGTGAACTTTTCGATCCATCCAATGCCACACTTGCCAATAAACTAGAATCTCCTTTTCGTTTTTTCACCAGAAAAGTCTTTCAGAGATGTAATATGCCCTTCAATTCATACACCGATCGCCTATCCCAGTTCTCTATGCTAACCACCCTTCATCGCCGCACCCTTCTAGTCCTTCGTACCTATCACAAAATTGTTAGAACTCATACCATTTTCCCTCTATGTCCTCCTACATTCTTCCCAGCCATTCAAACAGAGCCCCCCGTATTTGTTCAAAATCAACGGTCAATACTTTGACTGCTTCCTTCACAGAAACTTGTCTATGTGGAACCGTGTATGTAAGGTGATAAATTCTAAGCTCAGTCCGGTGGCGTTTGTTAAGCGAGTAGGAGCGATTCCTTATGATATTCTGATCCCTCCCACTTGACCTACAGGACTCTAGTCGGTCCGTCTGGTCATTTTACTTTTTTTATTTGTACAGGTCCCATTTCTTGCCAAATTATCTATCGATTTCCCCCCATGCATTGCAAATAAATATATTATTATTTTGTGTAATTCTTATAAATCTTTAATTTATTTTTCTTATAAAATAGAAAAAACCGGTAAATAAGGCTAAAAAAAAAGGTCCGAGGTACGGTATTTAAAGGCGCATGCATCAATTTGTTGTTTTCGCTGTGCGACCGGCGATGCGATTTTGACTAAATTTTCTTAATTGCGAAAGTAGCTCGAACGAGGCGAAAGTCTGAAATATTACATTTTTGCCGCACTTTTTCGTAGATCAAAAAAAAAAGCTACGCCTTTCAAATTCTCAGTTCTTTCAGTTTTCCTAGATTTCTTTCGAATTTTTGAATTTCGAAAAATTTCGAAAAATCCGTATTTCAGACTTACAAAATCCTCTCTGAAAATTCAACAATGATTCATTTCTTTCAAGAAAAACTTGGGAGCGGGGACGAGGTAAAAAATCAATAAATATCAATCACCAATTCAGTATAAATTCACAGAATGCACAAAAAATAATAATTATCAAAAAATCCAGTTTACAAAAAAAGAAGGGGTGTAAGTAGTCGCTGAAAAAGTTAGAAGAACAATCCGGCAAATGGATCAACCGATTTATCGATTTGTTGATTTTCGAAAATCGATCGATTATCGATCGATTGATTGGTGGTAAAGTGAGCGGGGTTTTGAGCAGCCCGCATCTCATTCAGTGTTGGCATTTTTCGTTGTGAAGCAAATGAATTGACAGGTGCCGGCGGAGCAGAAATTTGATGAGAAGAGCTGGACCACGGATTTCCTGGAAAAATCAATATTTTTGAACTTCAGAATTTCAACATTTCAAAACATTCAACTAACCAGAGCTACTCGAAGCACTTCCGGTGCCCATCAAATCGTCCAAATTCACCAATTTCCCATTTTCACCCAAAAAATTGTTTGTAATTGAAGATGATGTGGTGCAAATTGGAGTTTTCGCTGGAGACGTGGACATCTGAAAAATGGAAATAGTGAAAATTTGAGTCTAGAACGTCTGGTCTCGAAATGACCAGTTCTAGAACGTCGAATTCAGAAACGTGCGATTCTAAACGTATTTTTCTAAAACGTAAGGGTTCTAAAACGTCCGGTTCTAAAACTTCCAGTTCTAAAACGTCCGGTTTTGAAACGTTCAGTTCTGAAAAAGTCTAGTTTCAACGTAGTCAATTTTAGAACGTCCAGTTGCCAAATAGTCAGTTGCGAAATGTCCAGTTCTAAAACAGTCAGCTTCTAAAACGTCCGGTTTTGAAACGTGTTGCTTTAAAAGTCTCAGATCCAAAAAGTCTAGTTTCAACATAGCCAGTTCTAGAACGTCCGGTTGCCAGATAGTCAGTTGCAAAATGGCGAGTTTCGAAACGTTCAGTTCTAGAACGTCCGGTTCTAGAACGTACAGAACGTCTTCTAAAAAAATAAACTATTTCAGGATGTCTGGTGGCAAAATGGCACGTTGAGAAAGGGCAGTTCTAGAACATTTGGGTTCTGAAACGTCCGGTTCTAAAAAGTCCAGTTCCAAAACGCTCAGTTGTAAAACGCTCAGTTGTAAAACGTCAGTTGTAAAAAACTGAATTGCAAAATTATTTTCTAAAACGTCCGGTTCTAAAACGTTTTGTTCTGAAACGACCGGTTCTGAAACTACCCGTTCCAAAACGTCCGAATCTAAACCGTCCAATTGTCAAATGTCTCGAATAAAAACTCACAAAATCCCCAATCAAATTCAACGATCTCGGTGGCTCAATCAGCGTCGGTGGGGCCGGTGGATTCCAAAAATCGTCCAATTTTGGAATTTCCAATTTCGGAATTTCCAAAAAATTCGTCTCAAATCCAGTATTCATCATCAGAACGTCTGTAGATGACGTGGCAGTGGCAGTGGCAGATGAGCAAACCGCCCATGGATCCGAGAGACCACCAAGGAGATTCGAGGAAGAGCACAACGTGGGCGGGTCCACATGAGCAATCGTTGGTTGGGACTGAAAATATGGCGGATATAGGCAACATTTTCATAATATTTATTGAGTTTAAGATCCAATAAAAGACCGATAAAAAATAGAGATTTTAATCCCAAAATCATTCTTCTAAAACAACTGGGAGCCGAGATACAGCTATTTGAAGTTTTGGGGGCTAGAAACGCAGACGACAAAGCACTCTAATTGTCTGCGTCTCTCAAAAACTTTGAACGACTGTATCTCGGCTTCTAGAAGTGCTAGTACATTGGTTTATGAACTGAAATAAATTCTGGAAGCCACATTTTTCAAAAAATCCGTAAAATTACCTTTTTCGAATTCTCCATTGCCATCTGAAGTCGAACCTCATCACTTTTGCTCATTTCCAGCTCTTTTTCACACTGTTCACGTGATAATGCGAGTGCCAATTGAAGTTGCATGTCCTCTTCGATCATATCCGATGGGAGGAGCTCATCCGGGTATTCACGAACTGCAAGAAACATCGATAACTATTCTGAGGAAAATCTGACTTTCAGTACTCATTTTAGTCCAAAAACCAATGTTCTAGCACTTCTAGAAGCCAAGATACAGCAGGTCAAAGTTTTGAAGAGACGCAGACAGTTAGAGTGTCTTGTCGTCTGCGTCTAGCCCCCAGAATTTCAAATGATTGTATCTCGGCTTATAGTGATCCTAGAAAAGTGATTTTGGGATTGAAAAATGTAATTTTCATTTGTCTTTTTTTGGACCTAAAAATGACATAATTCCAAAACCAATAAGTTATCCAAAAATTATTTTTTTTAGTTAGTTTTTGCCCATTTTCAAAAGTCTGTAGCTCGACTGTCAAGTTTTTGATCATTTCAAAAAATTTGGGAGGGTGTGAAACCGACCTAAATTAAAAACTTCGTGTTTTCTCAAAAACCGGCCAGAATGACCTATATATTTTTATCATTTTTTAAGATTGGAATTTGAAAAATCTGGCTTTCAGCATTTTCTTTAGTCCAAAAACCAATGTTCTAGCACGTCCACAAGCCGAGATACATCCGTTCAAAGTTTTGAAGAGACGCCGACAGTTAGAGTGTCTTGTCGTCTGCGTCTAGCCCCCAGAATTTCAAATGATTGTATCTCGGCTCCCAGTGGTCCTAGAAGAGTGATTTTTGAACTGGAATGTCTAATTTTTATCAGGCTTTTTGGACCCAACACGAAATTTTCTTCATTCCTCACCCATTTCCATCCTCTGTCCATTCCTTTCCATTCCAGAATTTTCTCGATTCTTCTTTTTCAAAGTTTCCAAATCCGTGAGCACCGAAGCGATATTCAGCGCTTTCTGACGAATGTCGAATCCACGATCCTGACGATTTTCCTCGTATTCAAAGTCTTTCAGCGTCTCAATCATGTACAAATTTTGACGGCTCATTTCGATCACCTGGAATATTTTTGAAATTTAGGTATTTCTGAAAATCCCGCACCTGTGAATGTCCCCTTCTGATCAAGTACTCCAGCAGAGTCAAACTCTTATCCACATGACGCCAATTTTTGTTCGAATCGTTCAATCTCTGCCAGATAATTGCCATAATTTCCATATAACAAACGGGATTCTGCGTTAAAATGGCAATTTCCTCCATTTGGTACGCCGACGGACCGCTCGGACTGTTGCTCGTCGCATTTCGAACTTTCACTTGTGCTTCTGAATATTTCAGAGCCACATTTTTGACTTGACGACGGATCGAATGGATTGACATGTGTCTGAAAGTTTTGGAATTCGGAAAAAAATCGAAAAGAGAAAACAGAAAATTCAAGGAAAATCGAGCGAAAATGAGCTGAAAATGACAAATTTTTGTGAACTTTTTTTTCGAAAGTTTGAGTTTTTAAAGCAGAAAACAGAAGAAGATTAATGAATATGATTGAAATACCGTAAACACTCTAATAGAACGCCACCCGGACCATCCACTTTGAGCCTATATATCTCACTTCTTTTGAAAGATATCAAAAAGTTGATAAAAATAAAATGTTCATCATGATATCAGCAACATTTTATCAGTCGACCACTTTTTGATATCTCTCACAGAAAATGAGATACATGGGCTCGACTTTGACGAATCGGGTGGCGTTCTATCAGAGTGTTTACGGTATTTCCAAACGACTTTTTTCAAAATTTCGGCATAATCGCATTAAAGTTAGGCTTTAAAAAAAAAACATGAAAACAGTGGAAAATGAAAAAAAAATAACAATTTCATTGATTCAATATCTCAAAAATCAAAATTTGGCGGGTTCCCGCCGTTTTCAAAATTTTGATCTACCGACATAAAATTTTTCTGATAACTTTTTTTTTGGAATTAGAAAATCTTTCATTATAAAGCTGAGAAATTATAACCATTCTTAAAATTATGCTAAACTCACAAAGTTTTTTTTAATCTCTAAAATTTAAACAAATTTTGTAGATTTTAGAAAAACGAGGATTTCGGAATTCCCGATTACTGAATTTCTGAATTTTTGAATTTAGGCTTCCATTCGGTCAAGAACTTTAACTGACCGACCGACCACAGACCGTGCCGACCAAACTGAACGATCGGTCGGTTCTGAATTTCTTGATTTCTGAATTTCTGCATTTTTGAATTTCTTGATTTCTGAATTTCTGAATTTCTGAATTTCTTGATTTCTGAATTTCTGAAATTCTGAATTTCTGAATTTCTGAATTTCTGAATTTCTGAATTTCTGAATTTCTGAATTTCTGAATTTCTGAATTTCTGAATTTCTGAATTTCCAAATTTTTGAATTTCTGAATTTCTGAATTTCTGAATTTTGGAATTTTGGAATTTGTGAAATTCTGAAATTCTGAATTTCTGAATTTCTGAATTTCTGAATTTCTGCATTTCTGAATTTCTTGATTTCTGCATTTCTGAATTTCTTGAT